ATAAGAAACCTCCTTTTAAATATGCAACTTTACTAGTTTTGCCTTCTAAAATTTCAACTCCTGACTCCTCCAGTACGTACAACATACAAAGTAACACTCTAAATGCTATTCAACCTCACACAATAATTTCACAAATGTAAATAAATAGGATTAACAATCTCCAAGTTTCTCAAAACAAATGTAATAGTCTTTTGTCTATTAAGTTAGGATACATATTTTACTTCTCCAAATTGGATCTAATCATGCTATTAATATACTAATATTAAATGTTCAAGCATGTAACATATGTGCAGTACGAATAACTTTAAAGACACGTGTAACATATGTACAGTACATTTGATAATATAAGAATATCATCAAATAGCTTCAATTACACATGCAAGATACATAGAGTTTGATCATTTTATTTAATTATATTTGAAAAATAAAATGAAAATTATAAAATAGTTGCAATATGTTAGTGATGCATATTTAATATTTTGAATCCTTTAGGAATATTTACAAAATATAATAAGCATTGTTCAATATTTTGCATTAATTTAGTGCCTTGCTAAAAAGGTTCAATTGGTCTTGCAATATCGATATAGGAAGTTCTAGTGGAAGAAGGAAAATCGACATAAAGGAAATATAAAATGCAAAAGATAAGTGCTCTAAAAATAACCTAAACCATAACTAGGAAAATGATTTATCATTTTCTTGCACCATGCAGATTCTTTTAGGTTATATTCAAATTGCATGAATAGTTATAGGTATTGAAATAGTTATAGAAAACTATATTATAAGTACATTGTTTTAGGCCGCATCATGAAGTGCTTTTATATACTTCTATTCTTTTTACTTCCAACATGGTACTTTATTTTTTATATCTCATACTAATACAATCAAATGATATGATCATTTCATCTAGTAAAGTAAGTGCTAAAACTATAAAAATTAATTTGAAGGTTATTTTTCTTACTTTTCTCAATTTCACTTAATATTGTTGTATGTCTATATTGTACCATATTGATCTTCCACTTAAGTAGAATAATATAATTAACATAAAATAGCACCCTATATATACAAGATAGATAAGCTGACTCTTAGATGCAAAATGGTCAAATTCAAGCTTTTGATACCATGGTCCAAATTTATTACTACCATAGTTCAGGTAAAATAAACTTTAGAAGGAAAATTTCACTTTAGCATTTGTGACCCTAATTAAAATATATTGAGTATCGTATAAAATGTTTGTTGTTATAACTTTTGGTCTTCTTTTTTCCCAAGGCATCTTGTCTTGTCAACCAATATGAATATTGTTATTCCAATTTTCATGCGTTATATATTAAGCAAGTTTTGATGCCTCACAACCTCAACTTGATGGTTTGGTAAAATTTTTTCATTGGAAATCAAGCAATGATTCCTCCTTTTCCGCCAAGGCACTTCTTAAAAGACTAATTTCAGAATCAAAATTTTGGACAATTTTAAGAAGGAACTAAACTTTGGAAGCAACATTTTTGTAACTTTGTTATAGTTTATGACATTTAAGAAGTCAGATGATGAGAGAAAAGGTATAGTAATACAAATAGAATTTTGAAAGAAGACTATTTTTTTAATTGCAATTAAAAGTTTGGACAAAATGAATATTGTCAATTTCAGTACTTAATTATTGTCAATTAAAAGTATTTTTGAAGTATTCATACTATTCTATTTTTTTTTGTCAATCAATATGATATAATTTGGTGGACGTACTCATCAATTAACATTTTGTCTTCTCATTATTCCTTATTTTCTTCTTAACCAATATGATATGATAAAGCAAGCTTTAATCATCATGGATTAATAAGGCACAATATGATATAATTAACATCACTAATCAATTAAAAAAAGTATAAAGGGGATAAGAAAAGCGAAGACAATGATGCCAACAATAAAAAATACCTAGACTCGTGCTACTTGTATATATTTATATTAGGATTAATCTTTCCTACACTGACAGTGTATACACTATCAGCGTTGGATGAATGACAATTATGTAAAATTTAAATTTGAATTTAATTTTTGCACACTTGTCATGAATCAAATGGTGATAGTGTATACACTTTCAGTGTATATAAGATTTACTCTTTATATTATTAAATTGCAGATATTGTTTGTAGTACCAGTTCATTGTGTTTCACTTGTCTTAAACTTTTTACATTCCATAGATAATTGACATAGACAATGTTGATTTCCAAATTTGATACATTTGATAAATCTGACGTATTTGATAAATTAAGACGAATGAATGAGGTACTCTACAAGTCAATATTGTCCAAATGAGACTATAAGTATGTCTTATGAAAGAGTATTATTTGGGTGATTAGGAACCGATTGATAATCGTCAACCATTTTCAGCCAGAGTTCTTGAGATGGATGACCCAAGTTTGTTTAGGGTAAAACTCACCATTAGTCACTAAACTTTTTTCATGTCAATGAACCACCAAACTCTTAAACGTGTATCTATTTTGAGCAACTGAACTTAAGCACGTGATCATGTAAATGATTCAATTTAAATAAAAAGAAAACACAAAAGAAACTTTAGAAAGATAGATAACAAAATGTTTAAAGTACTTTGTGCGCGCATAGGTTAAAAACAGAATAATAAGAAAATATTTCTTATTAGAAAAGAAATTATTGGATTTGTTTTCTAAGAAATATATTGGATTTTTTTTACCTATTCGTAAATGCAATATTTGTTTAAAAAATTTTCCTTTTTTATTTTCTATAAGTCAAGTTATTTTCTTAATAAAGTACTTATTTTCTCAAAAGATTTTGGAATGCAATGATCCATTGTTTAATTACTGATTGCTAAGAAATTTTTTATACTTTCTTTCTTCTTCAATTTAGAAAAATTTAAAAAGCACACCAATGATCACTGAATTTTATTTTAAATTTCATTTATCTCACTGTACTATTTTTTATTCACAAAGTGATGAAAGTGCCTACGCAAATGTAGTCAGCCACTAATATGCCTTAAATTTTGTCAATTTTAACTGAGAAAATAGAGGGAGTAGCCCAATTACACACTTTTAAGAGTTTATGGAGTCATCTAACATAGAAAATACTGCACTGGACTAAATGAAATTTTGAAGAAGTATGGTGATTGATGATGCATTTTATTCATTTTTTTATAGCCATAAATTGTTTACATTTTTTTCAAGGATGGTCCCTTCAAAAGTTTGACAAATGTTTAAAAACCTGAAACGGTTTCCTCGTCAGCCTTTGTACCTATCGAACTATACGGCAGTATTTCACTTTAGAAAAAAAAAAAAAAAGAAAGAGAAAAGTTTTGACTGTAGTCCGTAAAACAAAGAGTTAATCTTATTATACACCGATAGTGTATATATTATTACGATTGGATGCATGATATATAAGCAGAATTTGTGTATCCTAAAGAGTTAATATCTCTATCCATTAAACCTTTTGAGGATCAGTTTACATATCCATCCATTGAACCATTACCGCATCCAATTGTGCTCAGATTACAACATATTTTATAACGTCGAATATTGTTCAGTCTATGATATGTTTAGCATGGATGATTTCTTTAACCACATACTATTTATGGACAAATTTTTCTCCCAAGTTAGAACCAGAGCATTGTAGTGTATAAACGGTCAACACACATGTGCAATGTGCATAACTTCTAGGCCAACGGACACAGAGCCTACGCGGTTCGACTTATTCACCTGCAAAGTTGACGGACACTTTTAATCTGGCTACGAAAACTGCGCTCCTTTTCTCATTTCTTTCCCTATCTTCCAACAAAAGATGAAAGATGCCCAATTTCCCTGTTATATTCCAAGTTCCAATGCCTGTTTTTGGATACTCCCTTTTCCTTCATCCCTGGGCCATCAGGATAGCGTGCACTTCCCATTTGTGGGGTGATAAGGATGTAAATAGGATGCCCCTTGTCTTTACTTTTCCCACCTTTCTTGCTAGGCAATAGCCAAGTTGTAGGTAGGTATATCATTGACTTTTATCTTCTTTCTTCTGCTTCATGCATTGAGTCTAATGTATTATGTGTGTATGTTTTTTTTTTTTCTCTTTTTGCCTAAAATGTTCGTCTTCTGAGAAGGTTGAAGAGGACAAGAGGGAACGATGCAGTGAGAAATTCATTCCACATTCTAAAATAAGGGAACAAGGCCATTTACGTTGTAATAATGAAATAATTATTGGTAGACCAGAAAAAAGGTTTCGCAAGTGAACTAGCTGTGTGTCAATTCTAAGTATGTTTGTTTGCATTGATGGATGACTATGACAGTTACATCTTTCACATATGTTCTTTTCTTGCACTCTATTAAGTGCAATATTTGATTCTTATGCTTTTCTTTGTTTCCTCGAAAGAATTGTGGTTCTTAATTAAATGTTTGTCATCTTTCTTCTCTTTTTTAATTCTTAACTGGATTGTTACATCTTTTACATGTGTTCTTTTCCTCGTACTCTATTAACTGCAATATTTGATTCTCATGTTGTTCTTTGCTTCATAGGATGTGTTTTGGTTCTTAAATGTTTGCTGTTTTGTTTCTCGTTTCTAGTTCTTGTTTGGAAAAGGTCTTCAATGTAATCAACTACTATCAATATAAATGAGAACTTCACCTGAGGTATGAGATTATGGTGCACCAAACTATAACTATATTGCTGCTGATGTGGTATTACCTGTCAGTCATATTTGTAGGCATTATAGAAATTTGACTGTGTTACTTCTTCTTTTTTTTCTTTTTTTTTTCGGTCACTTAATGTGGTTCTTAATTTGAGAAGTATTGTTTGAATTTGCCATGTAATATCAAACTAAATGATCAAATTTCGACAAGGATTTCATATCTACACTTGTCAATCTACAAGTTGTCAAGGCAAATCACAGATCATAAGGATGAATCTGAATCCAATAGAAAAAATTCCTTTACTGCGGACTGTGTTGTGGTCGATATATAGTTAAAGCCTTGTTGAAATGCTATTGTTGACAAGTCTATATCAGCCTGTTACATATATTTGGAATCTGATTTACAACAATAAGGATGGTTCCTTTGTACTGCATTTGCATGTAAGTGAAATCATTTGTATCACTTCGCTTTCATCTGTTTGTCAGATTATCCTATGTAGTTTTTGCCTCATTTAAATGCTTCCAGTAAAATGGTTTGCAATTCATACAACCTCCTATATACTTACCTGTATGTGTAAAAATTCTCGACAGGCTCACCTACCAAAAAAATGGAAAGCTCAAACTGCTTACCGAATTCCAAAACTTCTACATACACAGGCAGGCGGACAATAGCTGGCTCTTCTGTAGTTTTTCCTCAGATTTTGCCATCCTGTAGCGAGTCTTCCTTGGTAGGATTAAAAGCAAGTGCAGAGTCCACAGAGGTATCAGGTCACCAACCACCGCGTTGGGCGTCTGACTTTTTTATAGAGGAACAGCCCTTTTGGCTTGACGATCTCCTAAATGAGCCGGATGGCCTGATGCAAAGAGGTCATCGACGCTCAACAAGTGACACTTTCGCATATTTAGGAGAAGCAGTTGAAGATCTAGACTTGAGGGAGGAACCTAGTCACAGGAACTTAACTAGTAAAGCCTTGTCAATCAGACAGAACATTGGGCGCAACAAGGACTCAAAGCTGTTTGAGAGCAAACCTAGCTCACTGGTTGAGAAATTAAAGGTTTACAAGCTACTGTAACCACTGACTAGCTTTTGATATCTAATTAACAGAAATGGTTGAGTTTCTTGAAACATAAATGCAAATCGACTTTTTTTCCTTTAGCAGGATCCACATATAGCAGTGTCTAGATCAGCTGAAAAGCAAGAGGAGGAAATTAGTACACAAACATCTGAGGGGTCGAATGAAGGAATTAGCTCCTTGTCCCCCAAGCCTTCTGTTTCAAAAACAGAAGCAAAGCGTGCTAAACAGTACGCAATCTTCAATGCTTCTCTGCAATTTGAATATCTGCATATCACTTCACATTTCCTGATTCTGCCTTCTGATTTATTTGTTAATAATGTCGAGTGATGGAAGAGAGACATGTTGCAGGCAATCTGCTCATCGGTCAAGGGTCAGGAAGCTTCAGTACATATCTCAGCTTGAAAGAACTGTTCAACTTCTCCAGGTAATCCATCTTTAAATAATTGAAAAGCAGGCTCCATGATAGGAAATCTTTAAGCTTCACCTGCATTGAGCCTACTTTTCATTACGAAAGAAATGTAATTTTCTATCTCTGTCACGTTTCAGGCAGAGGGGTCCGAAATTTCTGCTGAACTGGAATTCCTAGATCATCAGAATCTCATATTGACCATGGAAAACAAGGCCCTGAAGCAACGGTTAGATAGTTTATCGCAGGAGCAGCTCATAAAGCAAAGTATGTTTCAAGTTCTTCAACTAGGCATTACACATGTCTGCTCTTGGATTTAGAGGTCTAGTGTACTGAAAAGAAAAGCAATAGCTTGAAGCCTGTTAATATGTTTTAATCTGGTGGAAATTGATCATGCTTATTATTTTACAGTAGTGTCTCATTTCCCTGACTTGTGTTAGTTACAAAAGTCTGATAACACTTGAAATTTACGCTGAGGTTCACGATTTGTTAATGAAATTGACCATTTTGTTGCATTCATCGTGCTTTTCAAATCACAATAAATCACCACTAGTGCTTCGAAAATGCTTATTTGGAATTAAAGATTGCTTAGCATTATCTAAATCCTGACTCAAAAGCCAAATTTCTGGTTTTATATGGGGTAGAACTTTTTCAAATCTTCTGTACAAACTAATGCTTCTCATGGTAATTGGTGTAGTGGAGCAAGAGATGTTAGAGAGAGAACTTGGGAGGCTGCAAAATCTCTACCACATGCAGAGGCAGCAGCAAATGCAGATGCAACAGCAGCAGCAACAGCACCATCCCAAACATCGTAGAAACAAAAGCAAGGACCTAGAATCACAGCTTCCAAGTGTCTCGAGGAAGAATGTCAGGGGTACAACTTAGGATTCTAAGAAGATATCAGTAAGATGTAATTCATTAAAACCCCAACAAAAATGTGATAAGATGTAATTCATGAAAACCCCAGCAAAAATGCGATTCTCAAACTGCTCATTTTTTCGTTATTCACTTTTTCATCTCCATTATCACAACTATATAGGATTGTGTATATTCTGGAAGAAGTGTGCTACATTTGAGCAGCTTCTTTAACCTTGTGCTTCCAGTAGGATGATCTTGATTCTACAATTTCGACTGATGTCCATTCATCAAGTTGCAGCAATATAAGTTGCACAATTATGCCATTCTTGTTTGACAGCAACATTGTATACTTAATTGACAGGCAAGGCAATAGGCGGAATCATCGATATTCACCAAAGAGATGTTTTTGGATTCAACCACATGAATTTGATACATTCTTATTTTAAAAACTTGGCAAAAGCAGAAATAGAGGCAATAATCCAACATCAAACCTTGGCATGCACTTACGAGCCAATCACTAAAAAGAAGAAACAGAAAATGAACGAAAGACACTAGTACCATAACTGCTCCCCCCACACCTAAATCCTACATTGTCCTCAATGGAGGTAATAAAGTAATGAAAGCGAAGAGAACAATGAAACTTCCCTGTTGAATAGCTAAGGTATAGGAGGGAACAGTGGAGGGAAGCCGAGTTCTGAGACATCCTTGCCACTTGGCGGTGATGTTCGTCATTCGCTCATACGTTGTGAACCTGTGCTTGTAAGTGGCGCCACTCACCACATTGTCGCCAATTATCACCCCAAACAACAAAAGACAGAATATCCAACAAAGATGGCAACCAACAAATGCAAATCCATAGGCACTGGTGTTCCCCAACTCAATAGTCAAATGCAAAAGCAAACACGGGCACCCAAGCCCAAATATGGTCAACAAAGCAACAGTTGCACTCCGAAACTAACAACCAGTAACTATTATCAACAACTGGAAACTAGCAAGGTCACGTCAATAAGCACAGGGCTACCCAAATCAGTAAGTCAACAAACGAACTCGGCCGTCCACGATCTCAACAATGCACTCTAAAATTTTAACGAATGCCCCCCGTCAAACCATGACAATTGCCCCCGATTATATGCTAAATTAGCAATAGAAGTGTAGAAAGAAGCAATAGCAACACAGGCACCGGTCTTGGCAGTTGATCAAATATCCAACCAACTAGAGTTAACAAGTTCCAGATAAAATATTCCAATAATAGCACCTAAAGACTCAAAAATACCCCTAGCAGTAAGCCTCAAGAAGTGAACAAGTCAAGCAATAGTAGTGGAAAACTCTGACATTAACAACTGAATCTCAAACCCCCAGCATTTCAACTAGATGCACTGAACTGGAATAAGCATGTAGAGGGTATAGAAGCCTCCCAATTTAACAAACAAGTGCAATATTTCAGCTCACTCAAATACTCAACAAATGGCTCCAGTTGGCCAGTAGAAGTCGCAACCCAAAATCAGCAATTTCAAGGATAACAGCTCAGGGCTTGGACAATAATCACTTAGCCAACCAAATAGAAGTACCCAATTGAGGTCCAATCACCCCACCAGTACCACTGGTGTAGTAAACTATGGAAGAATCACACACCACCAATATCAGGCCACCGACAAACCAAAATAACAATTAACACTGCTCACAATTGAGAATCGCAACAATCAAAACACAAGCAAAGCTGCCTCCCAATTAGCAAAAGACAATTTCACAAATCCAGCCCACCCAAAAACTCGACAAATGTACCCACAAGTTCAACAAATATTCTCACGAGTATGGCAAACTAGGAATGAACAAGATCTGGGTCAAATATCACAACCAGTACCACTGGTTACCACACAATTGAAGAAATAACCCCAACGGCCAACAATACCAATTATTGAGAAACCAGACAGCACCAATGAATATTAAGAAATTGGGAATAAATTCCAAATACCTCCACCGAAGAGAGTAGCGTGCGAGGTTGCTGGGGCTGTTGGCAGCGTCCAAGTGCTTCGGTGCGGCGTTGGCTCGCGATGGAGCTGCGGCGAGCTGGCTATGCGAGCAGAGAGGGACCAGCGAGCTAGAGTGGCGCGCCGCAGACAGCGGAGGGAACTTCAGCAGCGGCGACGGTGGAGAGGCGGTGAGCTGTGATGGCAGCGCGAGGGAGATGGCGCGCTGCTGCGGTGAGATCGAGCTGGTGGTGGCGCATTTGGCGTGCGGCGGTGGAGCTTCGTGCGCAGAGCAGCTGTGGCCGCGGCGTCTTCGAGCGAGGAGTTGCTGCGTGACGGCCGAGGGCGCTTCAGCAGCGGCGGCGGACAGAGGGCTTCTTCGGTCAACGAGAGAAGAAGAAAGGGGAGAAGAAAGAAAGAAAAGAGAAGAAGAAAGAAAGAAAGAAAGAGAAAAAGAAAGAAAAGAAAGAAAGAGAAATTGTTTTTTTTTTTATACTTAAAAATCTAAGCTACGGTGAAACAAAAAATTAAATATTTTTTTAATTTTTTAATATTTTTTTTAAATTTTAAAAAAAAAATTTTCTTTTTTTTTCATTGCAAATTTCATTTTCGAGATTCAAAAGCAGAGATAACCAACAATCAACAACTGTTTGAATTTTTTTAAATACTTATCTCTCCCGCAACGTGACGTGGGCACGCATGAAGGCACGGAATCTGGAGCTCTCCATATGACATGACGCAGCACGTCATGAGGGCAGGAGAGCTCTCTGACCGTGAGCTTTCTGTTCATCATGGCGCAGGCGCGCCGAGTCAGATAGACACCTACAACTCACCAAAAACGAAAATTCAAATCCGAAACCAATCAAACTCAAGGAAAACATATTTAAACTATCACACGAAATCAAAACAAATAATCAAAAGAAATAATTGGGTTGCCTCCCAATGAGCGCCTTTCTTTAATGTCTTTGGCTAGACATTATCACTTTTGTTCATGGAGGATAAAATCTTGTGGCTCGTCTTAATGCTTCATCCTCTATATAGTCCTGATAGCCCTCGTAAATAGAGTAATCCTTGAGCTCACGAGCTACGGTCTTCCCTGGACTAGTAAATGGCACCAAACAAGTCGATGATAATTTGCATTCTCCATTCACTCCTCCCTCACTTGCATTTATTGGTACAAGATATTGCCATCGCCACTCTTAATTTATTCCTGTCATGAAATTCAAAATTGTCTGGTATAATAAAGTCAATTTCATTAACAGGAATGAAGAGTAAGAGTCAGGAGAATAGTGATGAAGGAGTGGAGGGGATGTCACCGCATTTGGAGATTGTTCACTGGATTCATTCACTTGAATGAGTTGATCCTGGAGTCTCATTTTTTGCACTTCAACTTCCTTTTCAACTGCATCTTTAAATCCGTTCCTTGAAACTCTTGCAGTTCCATGTCATTTGGCCGGATAATTGCACTCTCATCTCCTTCAAGATTGATATTGGTTTGTGAGGGCAATTCTTCAAGGTGAGAAGCTAATCGCTCTATCCTGGATGTCAATTGACGCATTTGATCCGCCAGGTCGCGAAGGCTCGCTTGTGTCTCCTGATGAAAATCGATAGACTCGCTTGTGTCTCCTGATGAAATCGATTTGTATTAGCAATTAGTAATTCCATCATTTCTTCAAGAGACATACCTGACACGGAGGATGATTGCTGAGACTCTTGCTGTTGAAAATCCATTGGCCCCGTCGCATAATTAAAATTGGAATTATCCCACCATCCTTGATCATACCTGTTTGGATAAGGGTCATACCACGTTTGAAATCGTGATGGAAAATCTCCAAAAGTATCAACTAGAGCACTTAGATTATCTTGAAATGCGGGGCATGTGTCGGTTGAATAATTTGAGGCAAAATAAGTTTCACAATTTGCAACAGCCCATTGATCATTAGGAAAAACACGAGTCTCATAACCCCATTCAGGAATAAAGTCCAGTCTATCATCAAAATACGGAATGTTAGCAGCCATAAAAAAAAATAAAAAAATAAGAGAAAAATAAATTAAAAAAAAATGAAAACAAGATAAACTCAAAAGAAACAAATTAATCTGGCACCAGTCCCCGGCAACGGCGCCAAAAATTGACAGGTTGTCAGCCTGTGCAATAATAAAACCTGCTCAAACTAAAAGTAATTTCTGTAGATAGCGGTAAGCAGGGTCGAATCCACAGGGACTGGGAGTAATTGTTTCTTTTCAAATTCACAGTGACAAAGGGGGTGTTTTTGTGTAGAAGGTGACAATAAAAGAAGTTTAAATAAAATCTAAGAAACTACTAAAAATTAAATAACAAATTACTAAAATCAAATGAATGATAATTAAGGATCTAGCCAAGGAATAACTTCAGCAATGGTTCACCTAATTGATCATCGATGCAAAGCCAATTCCAATTATTTATCAATAAATAGGTTATAACTACCAAACAAGCGATGGCAGTCACCCCTCCTTACTGTGTCGGTGATCAAGGTACGCCCGTTAATCACTGCTCTAATTGAGAAATAATCCTAGGTACGCCCGTAAAATTTAATTCCCCAATTGCCTTACGTATTAGAGGAGCCCTATTCTAACCAAATAACGCACTACCAGGGTTATTTTAGATTAGCCCGCGTATTCCCCTGACACAAACCTAATCATGCCAGTTGTCACTATTTTAGAGCAATTAAACAATTACGGATTTAATGCCCTAATTGACAATAGATTATCCAATCAACTAATTATCTGGATCCAAGACAATCAATTAATTAAACAACCATAAGCACTGCAACCAGGGAATATGCGAATACCAATAAATAAAAGGAAAAGATTAAATTAAATTGATCTCACAATTTTAGATGACCCAAAGCATCCGTTGTCCCTTGACTAGATAAAAGAGTTTAGCCCATTGTTGATGAGAAAAACCCATACAAAACTGACGCAAAAGCTGCGGCCATGGTCTCCGATTTAGTGGACCCAATTCGTTTGAATCATCAAATGAAAAGCTAAACTACAAAAGTGATTGCTTCATTCTAATGGTCCCTGCCATCCGCAGGGAGCCACTACTCAAAAACGGCCATGGAAAAGTCAAAGTGAAAAACTAAAAACAGTGCTTGCTCTCTGCAGTTTTTATATCTGTCTAGGTCCTACTCTAGTTACTCACTAACATCCCCCTTGTGCGGCGGCTCTCAATAAGAAGACTCCTCGTTTCCGTCCTTTTGCCTTCCGCAATTACTAAAATGGGCACAAGTTTGCCTTTGCCAACAATGCCCCGGGATAAGCTCTGTGCCTTGGACTCCTTTTCTATCAAATTAGCACTTGTTATTATATTTTCGTTC